ATTTCTCCGATCACAAATGCAGCCATGGTTTTATGTTTACGCGGCGCGATGCAACGCAACGCAACGCGTAAAAAGACAGTATAAGTCATTATAATCAGTAATTATGTCCCCACTGGATGCAACAAATGCCTCGTTTGTAATGGGTTTTAATGTTTATGTCTCGTCGCTCCGGCCGGACACGGCATCAACACTGTATGGTGAGGGGCGTAACATTTCCGTCACACGCTTGATGTATTCGGCCAATCACAACGCACTGGATAGTTGGCCAATCAGAGCACACCTCGCTTTTCAGACCGATTAGTTTTGTAAAAATCGACGCGTTTCAGAAGGCGGGGCATACAGGAGAAACAATAATGTACAGTATGTGGAAAATAATGTGTTTTTTTAACTTTAAACCGCATAAACACATTTCATTACACCAAATACACAAAATAATGTTCTTTTTAGCAGCATCATATGACCCCTTTAAATGTTTGGTGTACACAAGTTCTACTGAAGTGGAGATTTTTGACTTTCTGCAGGAGAAATTTGGGGAAAACAGCCTTTACAGACATGTACTGTCACTGAATTCAATGATGAACTGCCTTTAACTGAAAATTGAGTGTTTACTATTGTCCTTTTGCATTGACACACTATTTTCCTATTTAATACTGTAAAGCTGCTTTGACACAATCTGTATTGTTAAAAGCGCTATATAAATTAAGGTGACTTGACTTGACTGTAATTGAAATCTATACAAGCAAATAGATAATATATGTAATAAAATAAGATATTATTGATCTTCTCAGAAAAGAAGGAAGCAAACTCATTGCATTTGCTGTCGGAGAGCATTTCACTGGCAATCTGACTTGTGTGGCTTAATATTTTAATGGAAACTGATACTTTTTTTTTTTTTAGGATTCTTTCATTAATAGAAAGTTCGAAAGAACAGCATTTATCCTATGTGACATTATACATGTATTTCCTGGCACTTTGAATCAATTTAATGAATATTTGGGGAATAAAAGTATCAATATCTTCCAAAAACAAAAATAAAAACAAACTTACTGACTCAAAACTTTTGAAAGGTAGTGTAATACTACAAAAGTCCTTTCAACTGAGGGATTCAACTGAATTCCCTAAGCACTGGCTGTAGTAACATAGCCAGTTTTGGTCATTTTTCATGAGAAATCAGGCATGATGATGGCTGTATACATAACATACATGACTGATGTATGTCACAACACCCCTAAGCTCAGGCAAGTAAACCATTGCTAATTTGTTGTGCTATACAACTTGAATTGAAACCGTTCCTGCTTTGGTTTTGAAATTCTTAAATACCCCCCAGAAAGGAAAAATAAGCTCTGTAAGATATAAAGCATGTCATGTTACACTGACAGGAATTAACCACAGATTTATGGCTTTTACATTTCCTCTGGTCATTCAGCTACATGGATCTTTTGACACTAATATTACACATACACATTTCATCGGCATCTCTCACATTAATCTATGTTCTTTAAGCAAAACCTTTGCTTAGATACCCTGCTTCTCTCATGTTCCTCCTTACAAAAATGACCTTAATAATCTCACGCATGTCTAGCATTTCAGAATAATATCACCAACTGTTTTCAGACTTGCAAAGACATCAAACCCGGAATCAAAAGTCTGAATTCTCATTATGAACTCATTAAGTTCTATTTCTCCAATATACTACAACAATTTTAGGTGAAACATCTGAGAAAAAGTACTAAAACAAAACTTTTTTTGAAGTTGTAAACACAACAACGATTACTAGTGTGTGTTTTACAAAATACTATTTTAGTCTACTTCAAAATTTCATGTTTAATCCAGTGCGTTACTTGTTTTTTCTTTAGCAATATCTGAGTGAAAATGGTTTCTAGTGTATGAAATAGCAACTGTTCAACAATAAAAATGGGTTGTCATTAGGCCTGGGTGATAAAACGGTATCGATATTTATCGACGGTACACCTTCTTCGATATCGATAGAAAAAATGTTTGATATAGTGCACGATATAGGCACGTGCTATGAGTGACGCAGACAGCACACACAAACACGAACACATGCTGAAATGAGTGTTGTGCCTGCCTGTGATGAGGAGATTGTGAATAAAAAA